TAAGATGCCATAAAACATGGTATTTTAAAGGTATTTTCAGAGGACTGAGGAGTTTTTACTGATATTCAGAGGATTTAGGAAGCCATCAAACTTAGTTTTTTAAATGTATTTTTAGAGCTTCTAAGAAGGCCTCAAACGCGGAATTTTTAATGAAATTCCTGAGATCCTTAGAAGTCGGAAAACATAGATTTTGCAATGAATTGTCAGTGGAACTAAAAGGCCAAAACGTGGATTTTTAAATCAACCTTCCGAGCATTGAAGACATTATTAAACGTGAGAACATTAGAGGGCCATAAACGTGGATTGTTTTATGAACTTTTAGAGGATCTAGAGAACCCCTAAATGTGGATTTTTCAACGATTTTTCAGAGGAACTAAAGAGAGGTCCTAAAAGACTATTTTTTTGCGAATTTTTTTGTCGACTTTGCAAGGAATCAAACGAGCATTATTTTACGATTTTTTAGAGGACCCATAGAGCTGTTGAACTTGGATTTTTAAATGGACTTTTGGATGATCTTAGAAGCCATTAAACGTGGATTTTCAATTAAATGTTCAGAGGACTAAAGAAGGCATTGGATGTGGATTTTCAAATTAGTTTTCAGAGAACCTAAGAAGCAATTAAACGTGAATTTTTAAATAAATTTTTCGAGGACATATGAACGTAAACGTGAATAAATGTGAATTTTTTAAATAAATTTTCCAGGGGATCTATGAAGCCATTAAACGCGGTTTTTTTGTTTGATTTGGATTTTTAAATGAATTATAAGAGAACCTAAGAAGCCATGAAATGGGGATTCTTATGGAATTTTCAGCGAATTTAAGTAGCCATTGAATGTAAATTTTTAAATTAACTTTTCAGGGGATCTAGGAAGCCCTTGAACGTGGATTTTTTAATGAATTTTCAGAGGTCATAAGAGTCCATAAAACGTGGATTTTTAAATTAAATTTTTCATTGGACCTAAGAATCGATTAAACGTGGATTTTTAAATGAATTTTCCATGGGTCTAAAGAAGACACAAAACGTGGATTTTTAAATGAATTTTTCAGCAGACCCAAGAAGCCATTAAACGTGGATTTTTAAATGGATGTTCCAGGGGACCTAAGAAACTATTAAATGAGGATTTTTCAATGAATTTTCCAGGAGCTCCAAGAAGACACTAAACGTCGATTTTTCAATGAATTTTTCAGGGAACCTAAGAAGCCATTAAACATGGATTTTTAAATGAATTCTCCGGGGACTTAAGAAGACAATAAACTTGGATTTCTTATTGAATTTTCTAGGGGACTTAAGAAGTCACTAAAGTTGGATTTTTAAATGAATTTTCCAGGGGACTTAAGAAGCAATTAAACGTGGATTTTTAAATGAATTTTCCAGGGGACCCAAGAAGGTTCCAAACGTGAAGTTTTTAAACGAATTTTCCAGGGGACTTAATAAGCAATTAAACGTGGATTTTTAAATGAATTTTCCAGGGGACCCAAGAAGGTTCCAAACGTGAAATTTTTAAATGAATTTTCCAGGGGACTTAAGAAGCAATTAAACGTGGATTTTTAAATGAATTTTCCAGGGGACCCAAGAAGGTTCCAAACGTGAAGTTTTTAAATGAATTTTCCAGGGGACTTAAGAAGCAATTAAACGTGGATTTTTAAATGAATTTTCCAGGGGACCCAAGAAGGTTCCAAACGTGAAGTTTTTAAATGAATTTTCCAGGGGACTTAAGAAGCAATTAAACGTGGATTTTTAAATGAATTTTCCAGGGGACCCAAGAAGGTTCCAAACGTGAAGTTTTTAAATGAATTTTCCAGGGGACTTAAGAAGCAATTAAACGTGGATTTTTAAATGAATTTTCCAGGGGACCCAAGAAGGTTCCAAACGTGAAGTTTTTAAATGAATTTTCCAGGGGACTTAAGAAGCAATTAAACGTGGATTTTTAAATGAATTTTCCAGGGGACCCAAGAAGGTTCCAAACGTGAAGTTTTTAAATGAATTTTCCAGGGGACTTAAGAAGCAATTAAACGTGGATTTTTAAATGAATTTTCCAGGGGACCCAAGAAGGTTCCAAACGTGAAGTTTTTAAATGAATTTTCCAGGGGACTTAAGAAGCAATTAAACGTGGATTTTTAAATGAATTTTCCAGGGGACCCAAGAAGGTTCCAAACGTGAAGTTTTTAAATGAATTTTCCAGGGGACTTAAGAAGCAATTAAACGTGGATTTTTAAATGAATTTTCCAGGGGAATGTTTTTAAGACATTTTCGGAGGACCCAAAAAAAAACGTGTTTTTTTTTTTGGAAATTTTCAGAGGACCTAAGGAGGTACTATACGAAGATTTAAAAAATTTGAAGGAATCTAAGAAGACATTAAACGCGGATTTTTTTGATAGATTTTTATAGGACCTCAAATGACCTAGAAACTTGTCATTTTAAAGGAATTTTTGGAAGATCCCTTTTTGGCCTAGAAACGTGGATTTTTTAATGAATTCTTAGAGGGATCTAGATAGCCTAGAAACTTAGATTTTTAATGAATTTTTAGAGGGTTTTAAATGGCCTACAAACGTGAACCTTTTAATTAATTTTTAGAGGGCTCTAGTGGCCTAGAAATATGGTTTTTTACAGAACCTCAAATGTCTTAGAAACTTAGCAATTAAATTAATTTTTAGATGGTCTAGGAACGTATATTATTTAAAGAATGAATTTTTCGAGGACTGTTAGAGACCTTCAGGTGGCCTAGAGACGTGGATTTTTAAATGATTTTTTTGATCTGTTAGAGGCCTCTAGGTGGCATAGAGACGTGAATTTTTAAATGAATTTTTAGAGGACTGTTAGAGGCCTCCAGGTGGCCTAGAGACGTGATTTTTTAAATGAATTTTTAGAGGACTGTTAAAGACCTCCAGGTAACCTAGAGACGTGGATTTTTTAATAAATTTTTAGAGGCCTCCAGGTGGCCTAGAGACGTGGATTTTTAAATGAATTTTTAGAGGCCTCCAGGTGGCCTAGCGACGTGGATTTTTAAATGAATTTTTAGAGGTCTCCAGGTGGCCTAGAGACGTGGATTTTTAAACGAATTTTTAGAGGCCTCCAGGTGGCCTAGAGACGTGGATTTTTAAATTAATTTTTAAAGGCCTCCAGGTGGCCTAGAGACGTGTATTTTTAAATGAATTTTTAGAGGCCTCCAGGTGGCCTAGAGACGTGGATTTTTAAATGAATTTTTAAAGGCCTCCAGGTGGCCTAGAGACGTGGATTTGTAAATGAATTTTTATAGGCCTCTAGGTGGCCTAGAGACGTGGACTTTTAAATGAATTTTTAGAGGCCTCGAGGTGGCCTAGAGACGTGGATTTTTAAATGAATTTTTAGAGGCCTCCAGGTGGCCTAGAGACGTGAATTTGTAAATGAATTTTTAGAGGCCTCTAGGTGGCCTAGAGACGTGGATTTTTAAATGAATTTTTAGAGGCCTCCAGGTGGCCTAGAGACGTGGATTTTTAAATGAATTTTTAGAGGCCTCCAGGTGGCCTAGAGACGTGGATTTTTAAATGAATTTTTAGAGGCCTCCAGGTGGCCTAGAGACGTGGATTTTTAAATGAATTTTTAGAGGCCTCCAGGTGGCCTAGAGACGTGGATTTTTAAATGAATTTTTAGAGGCCTCCAGGTGGCCTAGAGACGTGGATTTTTAAATGAATTTTTAGAGGCCTCCAGGTGGCCTAGAGACGTGGATTTTTAAATGAATTTTTAGAGGCCTCCAGGTGGCTTAGGGACGTGGATTTTTAAATGAATTTTTAGAGGCCTCCAGGTGGCTTAGAGACGTGGATTTTTAAATGAATTTTTAGAGGCCTCCAGGTGGCCTAGAGACGTGGATTTTTAAATGATTTTTTAGAGGGCTCTAGATGACCTAAAAATGTTGAATATTTAATGAATTTTTTGAGGGCTCTAGACAGCCCAGAAACGTGGATTTTTTAAGGAGTTCTTAGAGGGCTTTAGATGGCTTAAAAACATGGATTTTTCAACGAATTTTTAAAGGGGTCTAGATGGGATAGAAACGTGGATTTTTAAATGAATTTGTAGAGGGCTAGATTTAGAGGACCTCCACGTGACTTAGAGACGTGGATTTTTAAATGAATTTTAGAGGACTGTTAGAGACCTCCAAGTGGCCTAGAGACGTGCATTTTTGGAGGACTGTTAGATACCTCCAGGTGGCCTAGAGACGTGGATTTTTAAAGGAGTTTTTAGAGGACTGTTATGTGGCCTAGAGACGTTTAAAAATATGTACTAAGTGTGCGAACTGTACAAAATATTACCAAATTTGGAACAATTTGGTTTAGGGTGAACGAATGAAGCTGGTATTTTATATTGGGATCACTGTGATAAAGGGGTGGTTTTGGAAATTTGTACTACAAGTGCACGAAAAGTACTATATAGTACTATATTTGGTACAATTTGGTACTCGGTGAACATATGGTGCCTAGAATTTTCATATTTGGTAGGGTCGCTGTTCAGGTGCAGCCTGGACATATGGAGATGGATTCGGAAATGTGTCCTATAATTGTATGAAAAGATAAAATGCTTCCCATTGGCCCTTCCACCTTAGCGTGGAAAGAATAAATGGCCTCATCTCAGATATCACATAGTTTCTAACCACTGTCCATTGGTTGTCATGGTATTTGTGTTGGAGCGAGAGCTGCCACCGGTGGTTGGTTACCCGTAGAGAAGAAGACATATCTTCTTACTGAAAACCAAAACAACATAAAAATATAAAAAAAAATCACCACTGAAGAAAAATCTCTGAGGCGTAACATGTTACATTTGAAATTGTTCAGTTTTGAATTGGCTGCGTAAAGCTAAAGACGGGCTTTGGGTTTAAATGGAACGCAAAACGAGGTGAATTGAAAAAAAGAAAAAGATTTCTCAAAAATAAACGGATCACTTAAAGAATAGAATAAATCTGAAGATATAAATTAATTAAAATATCTTAAAAAGTGAAAAATATTTCAAAAGTTTCAATTCCAAAAAAAAAACAACCAAGAAATATCGCAATTAAAAATGCATAAAGTTCGGTCGTATGTTAAAGGATCGTTCATGCAGAACGTACATCTTGCGCAAAACGCTTTATAACAGTCCAAAACAGCAGCAACAACAATAACAACAACAGCAATACCATTTAGTACAACAAAAACGCAAAGTGACGGCAATAACACCAACCAACCACCACCACCACGACCATCGGCATGATTAAAGCCACGAAAATTTTAACGAAACCTTCAGCCGATTTGTATCAACTGAAATTGAATAAAATGAAATCGAATGAAAAGAACAACGAAAATCCAAAAAACGAAGAGGCTTTGGTTTGCACCAATTCTGATTCGTTGGCTTCTGGAGCTTCGACAATTGTTGATCAACAGCAGCAGCAACAACAGCCGTTGAAGAAGTTCAGCCTGAAGGGCAATCAATTGAGTGGCAGTATTCTAATTGGAAATTATAATGTAAGAAGGGAAAAGGGGGAAGGTGAAATTACAACATTTTAATAATTCTCTGAAGAAAAGCCGAAAGGTTAAAAATTAAATTGAAATTTTTTAAATAAAAAGGAAGTTTTTTGGTTTAAAGGGACCCATGATTCCTAAAAATAGGCAGATATTTGTTCATTTGGAAGAAGAAGAGCAATGGATATTCTATAAAAACTCGTTGGCATTTTTACCTTTTACACCAAAAAGTCATTTTGTACAATTATACTAAAAAACTACCTTCATATCTCAACTTCAGATAGCAACATAGACCTCAATATCAAATTTATGGATTCCAGCTCTATCCCTTCACCCAATACCCAATTTGGTGTCACTAAGCATTTTTCGAACAATATACATTACGAAAGTCACCTTCATATCTTAACCGCAAACACCAACAGAGACATCTATATCAAATTTCAGCTCCATTTCTTTGCCCAATAAAAAATTTAGTACTTTTCGTACAAATATACGACACATTTCTAAAACCACCTTCATATGTCTATTCCAAATACCAACAGAGACCTCAGTATCAAATTTAGGGATTCCACCTCTATCCCTTCACCCAATACCCAATTAAGTATCACTAAGTATTTATCGAACAATTATAGTACACATTTCCAAAACCACCTCCATATCTTCATCATAGACACCAACAGTGATATCTATAAGAAATTTCAGGATTTGAGCTATATTCCTCCACTCATTACGAAATTTAGTACTTTTCGTACAATTTAGAACACATTTTCTAAACCACTTTCATATCTCAATTCCAGATACCTCAATATCAAACCTCAATATGAAATTTGAAGATTTCTGCCCTATCCCTTCACCGAATACCAAATTTAGTACCATTAAGTACTTTTCGTAAAAATATAGGACACATTTCCAAACCCACTTCCAAGTCTTAACCTCAGTACCATAAAAATATCTCAATTTTATCTCTATTCCTTTACCCAAGGCCAAATTTAGCACCATTCAGTACTTAACGTACAATTATAGTACATATTTCGGAAACCACCTCCATATATTAAGGCTACTCATTAACAGCGATTTCAAGCACTATATGCTCACCCAATACCAAATTGTGCCAAATATAGTACTACTTAGTACTTTTCGTGCAATTGTAGTTCACATTTCCAAAACCACCTCTTTATCACAAATCTAACACCGAAAGGAACCCCAACACAAAATTTAAAAACTCCAATTTCATCGGTTCAACCCAAACCGAACTGTTCCAAATATAGTACCATCAAGTACACTTCGCACACATAGTACATATTTCCAAAAACACCTTCATCTTTCGAACATAATTTCCAACCTTGATTCTTATACTACATTTCAAGTTTTTAGCTCTATATCCCTTCACGTAATAGGAAATGGTACCATTTTAGTAAAACTTCAGAATTTTTCGTAACCTAAATGTTCGAATTTCCAAGAACCCTTTAGTACATCTATCCTGCACTCCATCAATGGCTCTTATTTTTAAACTCAAACCCTTACGTTTGACCAATACACAGTATTAAATTTTTAGTAAATTTTTGTACTTTTCGTGCCCTTTTAGTATGGATTTTCAAAAACTCAGGCATATCCCACGCCTACGTACCAAAATTGGTTCTAGTGCAAAATTTCAAGGTTATAGCTTCAGCCGTTTCGTCTGGGTGTTGATTCTCAGTCCTGCAGTTATTTCACTTAGACTGCTTGAATAATTCATTTAAAAATCCACGTTTCTAGACCACCTGGAGCCCTTGGAATATTCCTCAAGAAATTAATTTAAAAATCCACGTTTCTGGACCACCTGGAGCCCTTGGAATATTCACCAAGAAATTAATTTAAAAATCCACGTTTCTGGACCATTTTTAAATCTCTAAAAATTTATTTAAAAATCCACGTTTCTGGACCATTTGTAAATCTCTAAAAAATTATTTTAAAATCCACGTTTCTGAGCCATTTGTAAATCCCTAAAAATTTATTTTAAAATCCACGTTTCTGAGCCATTTGGAATCCTCTAAAAATTCATTTAAAAATCCACGTTTCTGGGCCATTTGGAATCCTCTAAAAATTTATTTGAAAATCCACGTTTCTGAACCTTTTGGAATCCTCTAAAAATGTATTTAAAAATCCACGTTTCGGGACCATTTGTAAATCTCTAAAAATTTATTTAAAAATCCACGTTTCTGGACCATTTGTAAATCTCTAAAAATTTATTTAAAAATCCACGTTTCTGGACCATTTGTAAATCTCTAAAAATTTATGTAAAAATCCACGTTTCTGGACCATTTGTAAATCTCTAAAAATTTATTTAAAAATCCACGTTTCTGGACCATTTGTAAATCTCTAAAAATTTATGTAAAATTCCACGTTTCTGGACCATTTGTAAATCTCTAAAAATTTATTTAAAAATCCACGTTTCTGGACCATTTGTAAATCTCTAAAAATTTTTTTAAAAATCCACGTTTCTGGACCATTTGTAAATCTCTAAAAATTTATTTAAAAATCCACGTTTCTGGTCCAATTGGAATCCTCTAAAAATTTATTTAAAAATCTACGTTTCTGGACCATTTGTAAATATCTAAAAATGCATTTAAAAATCCACGTTTCTTGGCCATTTGGAATCCTCTAAAAATGCATTTAAAAATCCACGTTTCTGGGCCATTTGGAATCGTCTAAAAATTCATTAAAAAAATCCACGTTTTCTTTTTAAAATCCACGTATCTGGGCCACGTTGGGTTCCATAAAATTTCATTCAAAGATCAATGTTTGTAAGCCATGTTGAACCCTTTGAAAATTCATTAAAAATCCATGATGCTAGACCACATTAATTAAGTCCACCTTTTAAGCCTTGTCGGGTCGTAAAAAGTTATTTGAAAAATTCACGTTGTTGGCACTTCCTATGTGGTCCGCATTTTTAATACTCTCCAAGTCCTTCAATAATTTAATCTAAAAAAAATAAAAATTCTCAAGTTTCTTCCTTCTAACGACGTCAACATTTCAAATTATTTTTTTTCTCAATTTCCATCATTCATATTTGTCTACTATTACCCTTTGCGTTTTTCATAGTTTCATAATTACATAATTTGTCAGTTACAACAACAACAACAATGCGTAGATCACCTGTCTAACACACAGTCGGAGTTTGAATGTCTCTCACTCTCTCTCGATTTCTAGTTCTCTTTTTATATTATTTTGCAAAAACTATATGTTTCAATAACAGTTCTCTTTTGATTTGTTTCTCTCTCTGTCTCTCTCTTACAGTATTTAACCCAATTGGAGGTTAGTGAAAACGAAATGGAAGTCTTGGATTTAAGTTCTTTGGCCCAGTTGGAGACGCTGAAATGCAGTCACAATAAATTGTTGGAACTGATGATTAATGGCAGTAATTTAACCTCATTGGTGGCGGATTCGAATTGTAAGTATCGCATATTGCAGTTGAAGAAGAATATGAAGAATATGATTGCTGTTGATTTTTGCTGTTGAGTTTTTTTTTTCGATTCGCAATTGGAACGTAAAAAGAATGCAAGTGCCTTTTAGCAATGTCACAACGTATCGTGACATGGTTTGATTTGACATTTTATTGATGGTGATATGGGGGCCAGACAAAGATAGATTAGTGTAATTTTGAGGGGAGAAAATCGATTGATGAGCTAATGAGTTTGATACAGATTTTCTTCGATCTATGCTCATTGAAGATGGTATGAGTTTCCCTGGTCCAAACGAAGTCAAAATATTATCGTAACCGGACTGATTGGTCATGAACCAATTTTAAGGTTTAAGCTATGGTACATCCAATAGGCACTGGTACCGCAGCTGATCATCTAGATTAGTTGTCAAAACACTTATAACCGTGACCGTATCGTGTAGTATGCAGCATATTCTATTCTGACAGCCTCATTGAACTTCCTGCACCCTGCTACTGTATTCTAAAGGTGTGAGCACATAAGCAGCTTGAAGTCTTCGCATATTTTGTGGCATATCAAAAAGGGAGCCCAGAGCCGTACTTGAATCCTGCTGTCGTTTTCTCTTATAATTTGACATTAATATTTGAGATTTAATGCATTAAACCGGTTTGTGCTGACGTATGAACAGTACCAGCTCTGTCTTTCTTGGGTTGACTCCCTAAGCCGTTGCAGCTTGGCTGTCGAGTGAAACTCACTCGAATTTTTATACCCTCCACCATGCATAGTATGGAGGGTATATGTAGTTCGTCATTCCGTTTGTAACTCATCGAAACAATAATTTTAGACAGATAGACATATATTCTTTATCAGCGTAAAATTCTGAGACCATTAAGCCTTTCCGCCCATCCGTCTGTTGTAATCACGCTAGAATTAAAACAAATAAAGATAGGAAGGTAAACTTTTGCACAGATCAGTCTTTTGTCTGCAGGCAAGTCAAGTTTGAAGATGGGCTATATCGGTCCACGATATCATACAGCCCCCATATAACGATACCTCCCAATATTTGGGTTTTTGCTGATTTTAGAGATAATTTTTACCGGAATTGTTTCAAATTTCGTATTTGAAGTTCGTAAAAGGTACTACAGCCTGTGACAAAAAATTGCCTATGCAGGTCCACGTCTTCATACCGATATTCGGTATTTTGATAATTTTAGCGGCATTACTCACCGGAATCGTTTCAAATTTCGTATTTGAAGTTCGTAATGGGTACCACAGCCTATGGCAGAAAATTGTCGGTGCATGTCCACGTCTTCGTATAGCCCCCATATAACGATACCTCCCGATATTCGGTATTTTGATGATTTTAGCGACATTATCAACTCGAATTGTTTCAAATTTCGTATTTGAAGTTCGTAATCGGTACTACAGCCTATAACAGAAAATTGTCTATGGCGGTCTACGTTTTCGTATAGCCCCCATATAAAGGTACCTTCCGATATTCAGTTTTTTGATTATTTTAGCGGCATTACTCACCGGAATTGTTTCAAATTTGCTCTTTGAAGTTCGTAATAGATACTACAGCCTATGGCAAAAAATCGCTTATGAAGGTCCACGTCTTCGTATAGCTGCCATATAAAAATACATCTCGATCTTCAGTATTTTGATGATTTTAGCGTCATTTTTCACCGGAGTCGTTTCAAATTTCGTATTTAAAGTCACTAATGGGTACTTCAGATTGCGACAAAAAATCAGGTATGTAGGTCCACGTCTTCGTATAGCCATCAAATAACGATACCTCCCTATATTCGGTGATTTAAGCGACTTTATTAACCGGAATGTTTTCAAATTTCGTATTTGAAGTTCGTAATGGGTACTACAGCCTGTGAGAGAAAATTGTCTATGCAGGTCCACGTTTTCGTATAGCCCCCATATAACGGTACCTCCCCATATTCGGTATTTTTATGATCTTAGCGACATTCTTCACCGGAATTGCTTCAAATTTGGTATTTGAAGTTCGTAATGGATACCACAGCCTAAGACAGAAAATTGTCTGTGCATGTCCACGTCTTCGTATAGCCCCAATATAAAGAAACATCCCGATGTTCGGTATTTTTATGATTTTAGCGGCATTACACACCGGAATGGTTTCAAATTTCTTATTTGAAGTTCGTAATGGGTACTACAGCCTATGGCAGAAAATTACCTATGCAAGTCTTCGTATAGCCCCCATAGAACGATACCTTCCGATATTCGGTATTTTGATGACTTTAGCGGCATAAATCACCAGAATTGTTTCAAATTTCGTATTCGAAGTTTGTAATGGGTACTACAGCCTATGACAGAAAATTATCTATGCAGTTCCACGTCTTCGTATAGCCCCCTATAAAGGGGGCTTCATTTGAGAGGTATTTTTTTCGACGGATTTTTTGAAAAATTTCAAGTTCCTTCAAAATGGTGAGGGGTATGAAAAGTTATCTGCATTTTTACTTTTTTAATTTATTCTCTTTTCTAACAAATTCTCCTCTCTTCCGCAGGTCTCCATTTGATACACATTTCCCCGCTGCCGAATAAACTCTATCATGTGAACATCTCCAACAACTATTTCACCGAACTGCCAAAATGGCTAAATGAATGCGAAATGTTGGAAACTCTCGATGCCTCACACAATCAGTTGCAAAAAGTAACGGATTTTCTGTTGACCGGCAAAACAACAAGGATACGACAACTCAATTTATCGTACAACAATTTAAGGATCATTGAACGATTGTCGGAACGTTTTCGCTTGCTGGAGGAACTTCAGCTGCATAGCAATGAACTGCAATTGCTAACCGATAATCTGTTTGCCATAACCAAGGGATCGTTGAAGTTGTTAAATTTATCGTCCAACAAATTGCAAATTTTGCCACCCATCGAAGAGAAGGATTTGAAGGAGTGCGAATTTGTATTGGAACGCCTGCTGGTGACCGGCAATAATTTGGATGATCGCATTTTTGAGGTGCTCAAAGAGGCTAGGAATTTGAGGGTGTTGTATGCGGCCTATAATAAAATATCCGCCATATCCGAGGATTGTCTACAGCGGCTCGGCAATCTGGAGGAGTTAATGTTGTCGGGAAATTTGCTACAACATCTGCCAGAGAGTATTTGTGAATTGAAAAATTTACAAGTCTTGAGGGTCCACTCTAATCTGCTGCTAAGTACACCAGCCTTGAGTAAAATAACCACCCTGCGTGTTTTGGATCTGGCCCACAATCATTTGGATCACCTGGATTTGATGAGTTTGGTGCCACAAAATCTCAAATACTTGGATTTGTCCTGCAATCTCCAGCTCCAGGTAGATGAGCAACAGGTGAATGTGTGCCGCAGCCAGCGCAAATGGAGTCTGGTCGATGTGTCGGGCAAGAATCGCATTAATTTACCCACCAAGAAGTCGCCGGAATCAAAGGATATTCACAATGGCCATAAGCCACCCTGGTTTGTGGGATTCTCTGAGACACCGGGTAAATGTCGTAAACTCCTGGTTATCCAGCTGAGAGAGGGAAAGTTTCGCACCGATGAAGCCCTGTTTGGCATGTTCATCAGCGGCAGCAATACCTCCTCCCATGTCTGTAAAATGGCCCAAATGTTGCCAAAACTCTTGCAGCAGGAGCGTATGGTTAAGGAGAATATGGGAGATTATATGAAATACACTCTGCTGGCGGGTCAGCAAAAATTGTCGGACAAACCTCCAATTGGCTCATTGCTGTGCCACATATCTCGGGAGAATACAAGGCCGAAGTTCGATATGGTAAGGCCGCAGAAGACAAAACGTTATGTCCTGAGGGTTGCCAGTATGGGAGACATAGGGGCCTATCTGATAAGGCGTACCAATAATATCCAGCTGATTGCCAGACCGGCATCGTTGAAATCTGTACAAAACGCCTCTTTCAGTGATCCCTCGCTGGCGGAATGGATCCTGGGCAATGATGATGAATATCTGGTGATTTGCAATCCCGAAATACGTTCTGTGCTGGATATTGATCGCATTGCCCGGGAGGTACGCAAGGAAGAGAATGTGGTGTTGGCGGCCAAGAGGGTCCAAGATATGGCCCAAAGTTTCGGGGCCCAAGGCAATCTGAGTGTTATTGTAATACGCTTCAAGAACATTGGAACCGATGTGGATTATCTGATCAAGGAACTCAAGCAGACGGTGCGACGAAAGCCCCAAAGTCTGGTGGCCAGCCCGGTGAATACTGGACTCCTGCCGAATGTGTGCAAAAGGGCCTGCTGTGATCGTAGCCTCAATTGCCGACATCGTTTTGCTGGTGCCACGGCAACCAAGCAACTGCCCTCAATTGCTTCCCGGATTGGCAGTGATCGTTCCTCTCCCAGTGGCCAAAGTGATCCAGCTCTTAGCGTGGCTAATCCCAAACAAATTGAGGGAGACAATGAATATATCTTAGCCCATGCTCGTGTCCTGGAGGAGACCACCGAAATGGAAATGCTCGATGAAACTGATTCAGCCCTTTCCGAGGAGCAGTTCAAGTGCTGGGAATACATGTTGGAACAGAATACCCAACTGCTGTTCGACAAAGAACTCAATACCATATCGAAATCGTTTACCAAAAATCGCAATGCGGAAAGGAAACGTTCGACACCGGAACGTTATGATTACAAATCGAATTTATTGAAGACAAGTACTCCGAAATTCATTTCCACCAGTTCGCCACAGCTGCTGTATTCGGAGGTGAAGAAGGGTAATGTTGGTCTATTGAATCCCGCAGCCAATCCTTTGGGAAACCCATCCTCGGCTGGAACTTCAACTGCCCAACAGTCGCAGGTTTCATTTCTCTCCAAACATTTTGGCAGTGCCCGTTCATTTGGCACCGCCTACAATTTCTTTACGGATTCCAAAAGTCGTGATTCGCTGGCCAGCGGCATTGGCTATAGCAAGTTGAGTGGTGGTCCGAATGCAGCCTATTTTGGATCCCTGCAACGTCTTATGCCATATAATTTGGAATATGACTTTGCCGTTACGCAGGAACGCAATTATCTCGACGAGGATGAGGACGATGATGATTTCAATGATCATGAACATCGTATGCGTAAATATTGGGGTGTTGCCACCACGGAACTTTAGGAGAGAGGTGTTGTGGTATATAAGTTATAGGTGTATATAGATTTGGAATATTTTTTTAAGAGCGCTCAGTTATTGGATGATGTAAATTTTAGGATTAAGAGAATTCGGAGAAGCAATAAAGAGTGTAAAAATTGAAGAAGTTTTTGTATTTCAATAGGCCTTTTGGGGGTCGATTAGCAAAAAAAAAAATTAAAATTCACAAAATTCGCCGTCTACATCTGCATTTGTTTTTGAGTCACAGGAGTTCCGTAGGAGACAGGATTTAACCCAGTCGATGCGGATGTGATTTTTTTTTATTAAACTCTTTAGGGCCACCAGTTTCGGCCTTAAGATTTCTTCAATGAAAAATACACGTGACTGATAGCACATTCACTTTGATTCCATCACAGCAACTGGGTTAGTTGCTACTCTAAACTGTTAGGCGCCAATTTTTATCTACGGCAACAGTAATGCTTACATTTGGTCTAAACTTTTGTCTAAATGAATGCCATTGGACATCGAATGATAACTTTTGGACCTACGATTGCAAGTTTAGGACAATTTTGCTATTTTTATAGCTTGTGATTGGGCGCCAATAGTATGCTAATGATTTTTTTATTTGAGCAAGGCCCATACGCCATTTTTATACCCTCCACTATAGTATAGAGCGATGTCCGTCCGTCTGTGGAAATTACTCTAGCTTCCGAACGAAATGAAGTAGATTGATAAAATTTTACTCAAATGTATATTATGTCTGCAGGGCTTTTGGTATTGAAAAAGGGACATGTATGGTACCTCCCTATTTTCGGTACATTTGTTAATTTAAGAGAAACTACTCACCGGAAATGTTTCAAATTTGGTATTTGAAATTCGTAATGGCCTCTACAGCCTATGACAGAAAATTGTCCGTGCAGGTGCACGTCTTCGTATAGCCCCCATATAACGGCACCTCCCGATATTCGGTATTTTGGTGATTTAAGCGACATTATTCACCGGAATTTTTTTTTCAAATTTGGTATTTGAAGTTTGTAATAGATACTACAGCCTATGACAGAAAATTGTCCGTGCAGATCCATGTCTTCGTATAGCCCCCACATAATGGTACCTCCATATTTTCGGTATTTTGATGATTTTAGCGACATGATTCGCCGACATTATAGACCCTAATGTAACGGCTACATTTCGTATTTTTAAGATTTTAACAGAATTTTTAACGGATTTTATTTTTTGGAAAATTGTCAAATACGTTCCAAATGGTGGAGGGTATTCAAAGTTTGGCCCGGTCGAACTTACAGCTGTTTTACCTGTTATAGTTTGTAATAGTCCCAATATGAAAGAAAAATGGAGTAATGTCTGATAATTTTGAACAATTGCTTGTATAAACAGTGGAGCGCCATCTAATTACCTTAGGCAGAAATTCCGTACAAATGGTTGCAGCTAGATTCTAAATGTTGAAAATCCATGCTTTCGATTTCATAAGAGTCACCGTATAAATATCCGACTTCAATTGAGTCCCCTATAAAAAAATTGGTGAAAAAACTCTTAACATAAAAAATCCTAAAATCCTTACAAAATTATAAAAATCCACGCCTTTGATTGGACCTCTGAAAAATATTCTCACAAATTCATCCATCAAAACTAAGAGGGCATGAAAAAATATTCTTACAAATCCAAGACTTCTGTAGAGTCCTTAAAATTTTTTCTTAAAAATCCCCTGAAAAAGTGTTTCTAAAAATCCACGCCTATGAAAAAATATTCTTAAAAAAACATGCCTTCAATTGGATCTTTAAAAAAATATTTTTGAAATTCCACAACTTCAAAAGGAGTCCATGACCCAATATTCATACAAATTTACGCCTTATGCATAAAAATCCACGCCTCCAATTGAGTTTCGGAAAAATCCAAGACTTCTATAGAGACCTTAGTTTTTTTAGATCCACGCCTTCAATTGGACCCCTGAAAAAGTATTTTAAAAAATCCTCGCCCCTGAAAAAATATTCTTGAAAATCCGCTCCTTCAATTGGATCTCTGAAAAAATATTTTTAAAATTCCACATCTTTAAAAGGAGACCCTGACCTAATATTCTTACAAATTTAAGTCTTATTCCTAATAATACCAAGCTTTTGAAAAAATTCAAAGCTTCTATGCCCATAAATAATTTTCTTTAAAACTCCACACCTTCAATCGGAGGCCTGAAAGAGTATTCTTAAAAATCCATCTCTTCATTTGGATCTCTGAAAATATTTTTTTGAAGTTTGATGACTTTAAAGAAGTCCATGATCTAAAATCTCAGCCATCAATTGGACCTCTGAAAAAATATTCTTGAATTTTCAAGTCTTTTCAAGTCCGACATCAACTTATTTTTAAAAATATATATTTACAATCCGCATGAAAAAATCTTATAAAATTATAAATTTTCATGGCTTAAAAAAATATTCTTAAAAATTCCTGAAAAAATCCAAGCCTTCAATTGGAGCCCTGAAAATTGTTCATAAAAATCCATACTTAAGAATTGAGGATTTCAATTGGGTCCATTAAGAAATAATTCTTAAGAATTCACACCTTCCATTGGGTCCCTTAAATTTTGTTGGAAATAGGCGCGAAAAATTTCTTATCCAAAAAAAATATTTTTAACCAGTAAAGAAAGTCTTAAAGTCGGGTGGGGCCGACTTTATGATACCCTACACCACTTTGCTAATTTAGTAGAGCTCCGCATAACAATAAAAAGTTTTATGGGAGAATTCAATCATACACACTATGATTATAATTTAAAGTTCAAAGGACTAAATATGCCGGATCATTTGTATCTTTTAAATTCGGACTTGTATTGCCCATTTGGTGCACAAATAATTTGATATATATGGGTGCTATATCCAAATCTGAACCGATCTCCATAAAATTTGGCAAAGATATTTCTGAGCTGCATTTGATTTGATTTCTCTGAATATCGTTGTTACGGAGTTCATATTACGGCTGTGGGTAACAAATATAACAAATCGGATGAACAGTATATATGGGAGCTATAGCTATATCTGAACCGATCTTCATCAAATTTGACATACTAGCTTCTAGACTCAATTCGGTCGTAAGTGCCAAATTCCATCCCATTTGGAAAAATATTAGACGTTTGGTGCACAATAATAGGTAAATCGGACGAAGTTATATATGTATATGGGTGCTATATTCAAATCTGAAACGATCTCGCTAAAATTTGGCAAATGTATTTCTGAGCTGTATTTGATATATTTCCCCAAATATTGTTATTACAGAGTGCATATTACGGCTGCGGAGGACAAAAATAACAAATCGGATGAACAATATATATGGGAGTTATAGCTATATCTGAACCGATTTCGATAAAATTTAGCATACTTATTTTCAGGCTTAATTCCATACTATTCGGGCTGATATTACACGTTTGATGCACAATAAAATGCAAATCGGACGAAGATATATATCTGAGCTATATCAAAATTTTGACCGATTATCTCCAATTTCAATAGGGTTCGTCCTTGAGCCAAACAAATGATTTGTGTAAAATTTCATCTGGATAGGGCAATAAATGCGAACTGTACTTTGTTTACAAAAATACATAGACAGACGGACGGACATACATAAATCGACTCAGAATGTGATTCTATGCAGATCATCAAAGGAACTATAGGTCTATCTCGTTTCTTTTGCCTGTTACTAACAAATGCACAAAGACAAAATACCCTGACCACCTTGAGGTGTAGGGTATAAAAATGTACGCATTCCATAGGGCCCACAATAAAAATTGTTGGAAATCCACACCAAAAAATTGTTTCTTTTTCCGAAAATATATTCTTAAAAATCCACGTCTGAATTTTTTTGAGAATAAAATGTTTTTAAAAATCCACTTCAGCATTTATACCCTTAAGATTTATTCTTTAAGATCCACTTTGATATTTATATCGTAAAAAACCTTTCCTGAAATCCACGCCTGTATTTATGACGTTTTCCTATTAATTTTCCCCCCTTACCAACTTTTTTCCTTGGCTGTATCTCAAATGGCATTGCTGGTTATAAATCAATAAATATTTGAAAATAAATAATAAAAGTCGTCCATTAAATATGTATCAAATACGAAAGGGAGACTTCCTTTTCAAATCATAGAGACATACATACATACCATTTATACAAATGTACGAACATTTGTATATCCTGCTGCTTAGTTATTCTTTTCGCGCTACCTTATCGATAAAGTGAAAGGAAAAAAATATATATGTATATATATAGACGTCATTTGTGAAGTGTAAACATTAAGAAGTTCGGCAACTGAAACAAAAGCAACAAAAAAAACATTCTAAAAGGCATTAAAAACAGATTTTTAGCAAATCCATCCTACCTAGCCTTCCTTTCCCGGTTCCCCTTACGTCCAAAACCTAAACTCACAAAAAGACGTACAAGGGAGTGAGTAATGGGCCAAAGAATTATTGAAGATGCTGTGGAATCGAAGCGTAGAATAGCAGAACTCAAAAAGTTTGTAAATAAATAAAGAAATATGCAATAGAATATGAAAAACGTTCGGAAGATGAGCTATAAAGCACAAAACATAAATTTTTGCTGGCAAAGGAGAAAATTTGTGAAATGCAGATTCAGCCGTTACATGGCTGAGTAGCAGTAATAGAACTGTAAAGGGTTGCCTGTGTGTGTGACATAAAGGGGAAATCCAGAATTCCACTACGCAGTCGCTGGAATATCAGTTTCTTTCTATCAACGAAACAAACAACCTTTTCCACATTGACAACTCAATGTGACAGGGGCTGATAAGATAAGGCAACCGAAAAAAAACAATCAATCCAGCAGAGGGTGGGATTTCAGCTAACAGCTTTGCAGACAAAAAAGGGGGAGGAGTTTCAAGAACCTTACATGGCTCATGTATTGGTGAGTACATTCACGAGAGAGAGCAGAGGAACATTTTCTAGAGAAAAAAAAAAAAACACTTGAAGGGATGTTGGAGTATTATACCATTCCGTATTGCTTTTTTTCCAGCTTTTCCTAAGGTTGGGAAAGGAACGTGACCCACCCGTCTTCCCATTACAGAGGGCTTTTCCTTTGGTTGGAGCAAAATTGTTTTGTTATTTTTATTTTGTG